AAATAATTAATAGCTGGTCAACAGGTAATATCTATATCTACCCAAATCCCGTATTTCCTATTCTAGGAATTTGACCCACAGGTCAAGATCAATTGTGTAATTGTTGCATTGGAGAAGAATTTGACCCAAAGGGATAAATTATTTGGTCCTCTATTCTTGGACAGAGGAAGAAAGTAGTTCAGAAATGCATTTGAACTTAGTTCAGCTTGGTTCTGCATTCACTCCAGTTCACAGGCTGTATTGAATAATTTGCAGTCTCTTATTTCTGACATGCTCAAATCAACCATAAAGATCTTAATTTCTGGGGTTTTTTTCGAGTGGGGATTGCCAGTACTGAGGCCCAAATTTGGCCTTGCACTCTTATGCAATTTGCTTGCTCACAAATGGCACTCTTACCACTTGAGTCTTGTCTCCAGCTTTTGTTGCTGGTTATTGGGAGATAGAATTTGTATTTTCTGCCTGGGATGAGTTTGAATCAGGATCCTCATCTCAGCCTCCTAAATAGCTAGGATTATAGGCTTGACCCACCAGCAACCAGCTCAGTTTGTTGTGTCATCTCTTGGTATGCATACCCAGAATATCAAGCTATATAAAAATAAATGTAAAGCCAAGTGGCAGGACTGAAGAGTTCTCATAATACACTGGACTTGTATTTGGCCTAATTTATATGGCATAATCAATTTGGAAATAATGATTTCAATTCCTTTTATCAAATATGTAAGAATAATTTCTTTTTTTATCTTAAAAAAATTTTTTTATGTTGGGTTTTTTAAAAGGTAGTTGAGTAAGAACAGCACCACAGGTAAGGGGTAGGTTTATTCAGTAGACCTGCTGGGACCTGGCAAGGTTGAAACTCCATGTGGCTGGGAAAGGCCTGGGAAAGAGAAAGAGCTGGGAAAGAGAGAGAAAAAAGAGCTAGCAAAGAGCAGAAAGAGAGCATCTGGGAAAGGTGGGAAAGAGAGAGCTAGGAAAGAGAAGAGAGCTGGGAATGAAAAGAGAAGGAAAGAGCTGAGAAAGAGGTAGAAAAGAGCAGAGAGCTAGAAAAGAAAGCGTCTGGGAAAGGTGGGAAAGAGAGAGCTAGGAAAGAGAAGAAAGCTGGGAAAGAGAAGAGAAGGAAAGAGAGAAAAGGGCTAGAAAAGAGCAGAGAGAGCAGAGCGAGCTGTAAGAACAATTTCTTATCAACTCATTTTAATATATTTTAAAACAAATGTTCAAGAATAGATTTGACAGTTCAATTCATTTGAGAGATAATAGTTAATCCAGATGATCAAATTAAGAATGCAAATAAGCAGTGCCAGTGGCTCATGCCTGTAATCCTAGCTACTCAGGAGGCTGAGATCTGAGGATCATGGTTTGAAGCCAGCCTGGGCTGGCATGTCTGTGAGACTTTTATTTCCAGTTAATGATCAGAAAACTGTAAGTAGCACTGTGGCCCAAAGTGGTAGAGCACTAGCCTTGAGCAAAAGAGCTCAGGGACAGTGCTCAGGCCCTGAGTTCAAGCCCATGATTGAAAAAAAAAGAAGTGCAAATAGTTCTAAAGAGAGCAATATAATCAAGTTTTACTGGGTAACATTTTAGTTTATTTGAATTTAACTATACACTAATTCTGACATATAAACAATCTGTATGCTCATTGCTCAAACCTTATCATATTATATTTTATTACTATTTAATCACTTTAAGGAATTAAAGTGTTTCTTTTGCTCATTCTGTTTCTTCTTCCTTTTCCCAGTAGTGAGTACTTACAAGGAGTTGATGTAAAATCTTATGTCATGTTTTAACATTTTACTTTACATATGTGTGTATGTATATGCTGTGACTATTTCAAATTTTTCTATGGTATGGATATCTTTTTGCAATTTATGCATTATGATATTGTGAGATTTGTATATTTGGATAATATATGTCTAGTTCATTGTAACTGCCATATATTTTCCATTCTGTAAAAGAGCTATCATTTATTTGTGATTTCATCTCTGTATAAGTGAGCAAAATAGAATCCTCTTTCTACATTGTGTTGAAGTCTTTAACCATGAGAAGTAAATCAAGCATGGTGCTACTGATTGTTATACAAGATGCTTGTACCTTTTTATTGTGTCTGTATTAGCAACATCCTCAAATTCTCTTTTGTCCAAAATCCGATGCATGTCCCATTAACTTTATAGTATCCACTGAATAGCACATTGACCATCTAAAGAAATCATTAGGTTCAAAAATGATTGCCAATTCCAGGCAGTAGTGGTTTATGCCTGAAATCCTAGCTACTCAGAGGCTTAGATCTAAGAATTGTGATTTGAAGCCAGCCCAGGCAAACCCAAGCGACTCTTAACAGCAGTTAACTAGCAAAAAGCCAGAGGTAGATGTGTGGCTCTAATGGTAGAGCACCAACTTTGAGTGGAAAAAGCCAGGCAAGACTGTGAGGCTGTTGGTTCAAGCTCCAGAATAAGCATCCAACAAAAACAACAACAAAAAAAGCAAAACTGTGTAGGAAGGTGATATCCTTTGAGAGAAATTAAGTTAGGAAATATAAGTAGAAAAGCAGGTTACCTAAGCACTCTGTTAATTTGGATTTAAAAAAAAATTTTTTTTTTTGGGTCCGGTCGTGGGGCCTGAACTCTCGGCCTGGGCACTGTCCCTCAGCTCTTCAACTTAAGGCTAGCGCTCTACCACTTGAACCACAGAGCCACTTCCAGCTTTTTTCTTTTTGCTTATGTGGTGCTGAGGAATCGAACCCAGGGCCTCAGGCATGCGCTCGACCACTGAGCCACCTTCCCAGCCCTAATTTGGATTTTATCTTTAGGTTAAGTGAAACCACTTGGTGACTATTAAGTTGGAGCAACTCAGATCTAAACAATCTCTCTCTCACACACACAAAAGTGATTGCTTCTTAAAATCAGAACATGGGAGTGGGTGTACTCTCTATTTTTCATAAATGTTGAGGAGCTATTTACCTATTTAATGTAGTTACCTCTATAAATTTTATTAATGTAAAAACTAAGTTAGAAAAAATGAATTCCAGGAAATAGAAACAAGAAAAAAAAAGCTAAGTCAAGAAAATGAATATGCAAAGCACCGCAGTTGCCTCCAAGGTTTCTCTAATTTATTCCCCCCCCCCTTCACTATGATACATACATTTGCTTCATTTTCCTGTTTCAATACTGGAGACTTTTGTATTTATTAGCTTGCAGCATTTTTCTCCCAGCTATGTTCATGGTTTGTCTGTATACTTCTTCTTTACTTGAGTTTTACTTTCTCATAAATTCCTAGTACTCTTCTATAGGTCATGACACTGTCATGTGTCATTCTATTCTTTTTCTCTTACTAGGCTTTGTTATCTTTGTTTCTCAATTATAAACACCTCAGAGCCTTAAATACAGTAATTGGTCAATATGCATTCATAGGTCAAATATATAATAACTTAAATTCATTGAGCCTTACATGTTATCAGATTAAAGCAATGTAAAAAAAGTTATTTATCAAATCAGCAAGAAATAAAATGGATAATATCACTAGGATAGGAGATTATAAAAGAAAATTAGGATATCTTTTGGGAAAAGAACGGTTCAAACAAATAGTTATATATAGGCATATGTGAGAATACAGGCTGAGCACCTCTTATAATAGGGACATATTAGAAACAATGCAACTGCCTATTGATAAACAATTACAGAATATACATATTTTAATAATAAGCAAGTTCAAAGCAGCAAGGGATAATTAAATGATTAATATTGTAGTGCATTTGTGTTTTATAAAACTCAGGTCTAAATTTTTGTATTTATGATTGTATATGAAAATATTTATAAGAAGATCTAATGTCATATACCCAGGACTTTCATTTCACTAATCTCTAGACATTTGCATAACATCTATTTACTCTCTCTCTTTGTCCTCTCTGTCTTCTCTCTCTCTTTCTCTCTTTCTCTTCCTGGTTCTTGAACTCAGGGCCTAGGTGCTGCCCTTGAGCTTGAGCTTCTTTTACTCAAGGCTAGCACTGTACCACTTAAGCCCTAGCTCTACTTCTGGCTTTTGTTGTTGTTGTTTGTTTAGAGTCTCACAGAGTTTTCTGCCTGGGCTGTTATCAAATTATAATTCTCAGGTCTCAGGCTCCTTGAGCAACTAAGGTTACAAGTATGAGCCACTGGTACCCAGCTCAACATCTAATTCTTTCTTTCGTTCTTTTTCTTTCTTTCTTTCTTTCTTTCTTTCCTTCCTTCCCTTCCTTCCCTTCCTTCCTTCCTTCCTTCCTTCCTTCCTTCCTTCCTTCCTTCCTTTCTTTCTTTCTTTCTTTCTTTCTTTCTTTCTTTTTGTCAGCCATAGGACTTGAACTCTGGGCTTGGGCACTATCCCTCAGCTCTTCAGCTCAAGGCGAGTGCTCTTCCACTTTTGCCACTTCCGGTTTTTTAGTGGTTTATTGGAGATAGGAGTCTTACGGACTTTCCTGCCTTGGCTGGCTTTGAACCGTGATTCTCAGATCTCAGCCTCCTGAGGCTAGGATTACAGGCTTGAGCCACTGGTGCCCGGCAACATATATTTCTTAAACATACAATATGTATAAGGAATTGTCCTTAGGTGCTAAAAACAGAGCACTGAGCAAGCTAGAAAAAGAAGAAGAAGAATGCCTTCTACTGAAAACTTCTGTTTAAGCAGTAGGACTTAGTCCCTAGACAGTGCACAAGTCAATTGGTAGTAGGGACTATGGAGAAAAGTGAAGAAGTGTTTATCAGTGGAGCTCTTGATTGTAAAACACATTTTATAAACTTTTACTGCTTGGTACTACTCCTACCACTGGTGTCATGTAGCTTGTGAGCTTTTGAAATATGACTGGTGCAGATGAGATACTGGGTCTTTCCTTGTATTCCTTTCAATGAATTTAAATTGCTGTGTATAATATAGTGAACAATCATAGTACCTGTCATCAATCAAGGAAGGAGACTTTATATGTCTTTAATTACATATGGATCTCAGATTTGGGTAACAATTTCTTGTTTCTCCTATAGAATGGCTCCTGACCGAATGACATCTCTGTCACAAGTTTGTGTCCCACTTGTTACTCTGCCTGATTTTGAACCCTTGGTGGAGGCCCTGCTCACTTACCATGGACATGAACCTCAGGAAATCCTCCGGCCTGAGTTCTTTGAAGCTGTAAATGAGGCCTTTTTGCAGTAAGTGATGTCCATTATTCTGTCATCTGACTTCATTTTTCCTTTACATAAGATGTTTCAGTATGTGGGACATTTCCCACAAGAATTGCTTTCTATCTCCTTATACACTCTTAAAATATTTTTGAAGAACCCATAGGACTTTTTAAGTACGAGTTATGTTTAATCGGTATTTTCCATAGGTGAAAGTAAAACAAACTTAAAAGATATTTATTGAGCTGGGGTACACCTTAAATGGTAGAGTACTTGCCTGACATGAGGCATTGGTTTGATCCCCAACACCACACTCACGAAAATTACTTCATTTGAAATAATGGTAAATGTTATATTCTAAGACAAAAGAATTGTTTAGAAAGAACAATGTTGCTTGTATATATTATTAGCAAGTTTTATTGTTTGGCTGAAGAAAGCTGGATTCTCATGTTGGTTTTTGTATTTAGTCTGCAGAGATATGTTCTTCTGGCTGAAATATCCAGCCCAGCACAGATATGTGTTTGGAAAACGTAGCAGTGTTGTAATACATCTCAGATTGTTGTGGATATTCTGTTTTAATGTTTCAATGGTCAAGAAGAAAAAAATTTACAGTGATCATTTTTAAAAAGTTACTTGGTGTGAAATATGACTTTTTATAACTTCATATATATAATATAACTTTTGATAATGTATAATGTAACTTTTCATCCTATTACACTGGCCTGTTTTACACTATCTTAGATCTTTTGCTTTTGTATGAATTTGTAGTATCAAGCATGGTTCATCTGGAAAAATCTTCATTCATTAATATATGCAGATCTCCCAAACACTAACATATTTCACTATGCAGCACAAAAACTTGGTCATTGCTATAATCAATTATTTTATCAGACCACTGAACTCATCAGTTTGGAAAGCTGAGAAGCTCATGTTGGTTGACATAAATTTCCCAAGGTTATAATAATCTTAAAATAAGGTCAAATGTATCATGGTCCACAAATTCTGTCACTATGTCACTTTGCTAGTTTTTGAGTACGTGTTTAGTGGTTTTTTTGTGTGATATCAATCCTGAAATTTGATTTCAGAATTTCACACTTGTTAGTCATGTGTTATTTTCTCTGGTTGTTTTTAAGATAAAGTCTCAGGTTTTACCTGAGCTGGCCTGGATGCATTATTCATGCATCTCACCAAAGATGGGCTGCATTTGTCCCAGGCCAGCTTTTTCTGTAAAAAAGGGAAGCTTTATTAGTTTTATCAAGACAGGTGCTCTTCTTGAAGATAAATATTTTTCTTTTGCAAACACTTTTATGAACTAAGGAGTCATTTTACCAAGTGTTTTGTTACAGAATTAGTGTCTTTCGTTAAGCTATTCTTGCCTAGTTCTCAGGGTATAGTAATCATTTAGGTGAGTAGACAAGGTTACAGGAAGAGTTGCCTCTTTACTGAATGCTGTAGCTTAAGTGATGAGTGAGAGACAGAAGAAAAGCACAAGAGTTCCTAATCAAGTGAATATTAACAATGTGTTTTCCCTTGTTTCTGGTTTTTAATTACCATGCCTCATTTCTCCTAATCTATACTGCCTCAAATATTTTATAGTTCTTCATCGAACATTCTTCTGACTAAGTATGTTAGCTTTCCTGTGAGGGTGTGATTGATGGTACGGGTAAGGGGAGTGAAATGACCTCCTGATGGTGCAACAGTTTTACGCGTTGTTGCTTTGGCAGCATCAGTACAGAGTTCACCACAGTTGTCCCAGGAAGTACAGTGAGACTCTAAATAGTTGTTCAACAACTTAAATTTCAACACATCATCTGATGTGGCCAGTTCTACAGAATAATGTCTCAACAGGTGAACACAATGACAGTAAGTCCAACCAGGTTTAGAGATTCTGTTGTAAAGCCGGAGTACAGTTCTGTGAATACAGTATTAGTGGGTCACATCTTCTTTTTTTTTTAATTGTGAAAATACCGTACAGAGGGGTTACAATTATTTGGGCAAGGTCACATCTTCTTTTAAATCGTTTAATTCTTGTTTGTTCAGACTCTAAATGACTGGTCTCCAGTGGATGCTGCAATCAACAGTATTTAAAACTCCTAATAGTATTTAAAATATCTTTTTGCATAAGATACAAGAAGGTAAATTATTAACCTCCGTAAAGTCCAGGGAAAGATAGCTTCCCTTGTATTTTTGCTTTTATTTATATTTTAGCCCACCTTCTCTGCAGTAGATGTCTTTGCCTCATGAGTCAGAGAATTCTCTGATATGTCAGTTTCATCTTTCCCTGATAAGATAGCTGTAATATGAGAAAGTGAATCTTTTTTTTAAAAAATATCATTGTTGGCAGTGGTAGGGTTTTAGCTTGGGGCCTCTTGGAACTTGCTGGGCAGATGCTCTACTATGATAGCCACACCCAAAAGTCCTTTTATTTTTTAGTTATATTTTCGATAAGGCTTTTTGTCCAGGCCATCTTTGGTTTATACTTAATGTTTCTTGTGTATTGGAATGATGGATGTACACCATTATGCCTGGCTTGTTTATTGATATTGAGAGGAGGGCGGTCCTGTAAAATTCTTTCTTGGGCTTGCCTTAAAGTCAGTCTCCCAATCTCTGCCTCCTAAATTGCCAGGATTACAGATATGTGCCACCATGTCCAGCCTAAGAGAGAGAATATTTTAATCCTCCCTTTTAAAGACAGCAATTCCTTGACGATAAAATACTGTTAAATAAAATTCTGATAAATTGTAAACCATCTAAACTATGCATTAAGACATATAATTAAAATATGCATTGTATTTATATAAATATAATATTTAATGTAAAAGTTGTTTCTATATAACATAAAATTAAAAGAATTCAGATAAAATATAAAAAGCCTTTTAAAAGTTTTAAAACGTTACTAAAAATATGTTTCTTGTTATATTTCCATATGGGCATAGGAAAAGTAGCAATTTTTAAAGTATTTGCTTTTGAGATAATGGAATTACAGACATGACTTTAGATATAATCAAAGATAGTAGAGGCATAGTAAAAGTAAAAAAGAAAAAAAACTTAATTTAGTCTCTGAAAAATATGCAAAGTTATATCTGTAACATACCTTACTTTTTTTTTATTTCAATAAATATTTTATGATCAGAGGCACATAGGCATCATACCTTTGTGTATTCCCCTAAGAGCATCTTTCTTTGGTCTCAGTGTGTGTGAATGCCTAGCATACCTTTACATTTTTTAAGAACATGAAAACAAACAAGTGTCTGTTTCACTGTCAGAGAAATAAAATTATCAGATGCCATGTTGGCTCTGTGATTCCACTGTGCACAGACGACTAATAGGAAAGAAAATAGTGTTGAATGTCATTTTAGTATTTTTATGGAAACAGCTGTGGCCTCACAGAAACCTTGAAGAGTCATAGTTTCCCTGCATCACCACAAGGGTTTTGTGGACCCCAGAGTGAGAATTGTTATATGTTAGAAGTTAGAAAGATACAGTTTTTTTTTCATTGTGCATATTCATGTGTTAGAGTGTGATATTTGAACTCAGGACCTAGGCTTGCTAGGCAAGAACTCTACCATTTGAGCCATGCCACAAGTCCAGGGTGTGATAATTTATTACATATATACAAATGTATGAAGATTACTGATGTGATTCTAAGTTACTTTTTACAAGCCTTATGTTTTTTGCTAAAATACTATACTTTTAAAATGTTTTATTGATGTTTGCATCCTTCAAATCTGACTTTTAAATATTTTTAGAGATAAACTGGAGAATTGCTATGCATATAAACCCTTCCTTATTCTAGTGTGCATCAAAAAAACAACTATAAGCCAGGTGCTGGTGGCTCATGCCTGTAATCCTAGCTCCTCAGGAGGCTGAGATCTGAGGATCCAAGTTCAAAGCCATCCTGGGCAGGAAAGTTTGTGAAACTCTTATCTTCAGTGTAAGCTACCAGAAAACCAGAAGTGGCTCAAGTGGTAGAACACTAGCCTTGAGCTGAAGAGCTGAGGGACAGCGCTCAGGCCCAGAGTTCAAGCCCCATAACCAACCAACCAAACAAACAAACAAAAATAAACAAACCCAACAACTATAACCTCATTAGTACATCTAAAAATTGATGTTAGTTCCTTATCATACTCCCATATCTCCCAGGGATTAAATTCTCTCAGCTTTTTGACAATTTTTCTTGTTGTTTGTTAAGAGTTTAAAGCCCACATACTGCATTTGGTTGTAGATTTTGTAGATTCTTTAGCATCTTCAATCTGTAATCTGGTTTTTGTTGAAAATAATAGTGTTGTTTTTCTCTTGGGTTGTAGAGCATTTCAGCCATCTTGAGTGTGGTGATAGAGTACATAAACACCCATCTTGCTCCTTGCAGACTTAAGATGCCCCTTTGGTCATAATTGAGGGCCATACAGAAATGCCCCTCAATTTCTTTTCTTTTTTTTTTTATTGTGAAAATACCGTACAGAGGAGTTTCAATTACATGGACAAGGTAATGAGTACAATTCTTATCAAGCATTGTTGCCTCCTCCTTTTTTTCTCCTTCCCATCCCTTCCC